ATACCATATGAGGCATGGAATTACATACAGACAAAGACATGAACATTATTAGGGACTATGCAATTCAGTCATGATAGGGCAAATTGCAAATAATTTTAATGTGAGCATGTACCATATGAAAGCAATCACCCGGCATGGTCATCAATAGCATCTCCTTAGTCAAAAACAGAGAACCCAGAAATGAGTCTATCTACCTACAGACAATAGATTTTGGGAAATGGGTTGGAACAATGTAAATGGAGAACTCTTTAAGAAATTGTCATAAGCAAATGTGGTGAAGAAAGCTGATGGTGCCTGACTATGATATAGCATCTGGGGTCTTAAAGGCTTGAAGGTAAACAAGTGGCCATCTAGCTCAGAAGCAACAAAGCCCACGTGGAGAAGCACACCAGGCTGTGCGATCAGGAGGTGTTGAAGGGATCAGGTATCAGAACAAAATATCATATCATAGTGAATGAGGGGGGAGTGCAGAGTGGAGACCCAAAGCCCATCTGTAGGCAATTGGCCATCCCTTTACAGAAGGGTCTCAGGGAGGAGACTAGCCAGTCAGGGTGCGATGTGGCAATAATGAAAAATACAACTTTCCTCTAGTTCCTAAATGCTTCCTCCTCCTCCACTATCATGATCCCAATTCTACCTTACAAATATGGCTAAACCAGTGGATGTGCACTGGTACAGATAGGAACTGGAAACACAGGGAATCCAGGGTGGATAATCCCTTCAGGACCAGTGATTTGAGTGGCAATACTGGGAGGGTGGAGGGAGGATGGGTTGGAAAGGGGGAACCGATGACAGGGATCTACATGTGACCTCCTCCCTGGGGGATGGACAACAGAAAAGTGGGTGAAGGGAGATGTTGGACAGGGCAAGATATGACAAAATAATTTATAAATTATCAAGGGTTCATGAGGGAGGAGGGAGTGGGGAGGGAGGGGAAAAGTGGGGAGCTGATGCCAGGTGTTTAGATGGAGAGAAAATGTTTTGAGAATGATGAGGGCAATGAATGTATAAATGTGCTTTACACAATTGACATATGTATGTATTGCGATGAGTTGTATGAGCCCCTAATAAAACGATTTAAAAAAATAAATTGTCATGAACAAAAAAAAAAAGAGGAAGAAATGGTCAAGACCAAAGTGGATCTGCATTTGCAAACAATGAAACAGAACCCAGCCCTCACTCCACATAGAACAATGAACTCAAGCCATCTTAAAGACCTAAATGTAAACCTTACAACTATAAAGATCATCAAAGAAAAAACAGAGACAACTTAAGGCCCCTAGAATATGGCATACACACACTATCCACATAATGAATAAAACACACACAGCAGATAAGTAACTGAGATATCTGAAAAATAAGCACTCAAGTGTATCATAAGATTTAATTAAAAGAGAAAAAAGAGAAGTCATAGATTGGTGCAGATATGACAATTGAGATAGCTGACAAGTACAAATCTCTAAAATCTATAGAAAACTGCAACATCTTAACAAGAAAGCAGCAAATAATCCAATTTTTAAAATGGGCAGAGGATGTGTATAAGCAGCACAACAAAGATTACATCTAGGCAGCCATCAAACACAATCACCAGCCATCGGAGGAATGCAAATATGAACAGTGATGAGATACCATCTCACATGGGCACTGACTGCAAAGTTCAAAAGAGCAGAAATAAGCAATGCTGAGGGGAGTGGTGAGATTGGAGCCGTCAGAAGCTGTCGTGAGATGGTAAACGTATAGAGCAGTGGTTCTCCACCTTCCTCATGCGGCGACCCTTTCATACAGTTCCTCATGCTGTGGTGACCCCCCCAACCATAAAATTATTTTCGTTGCTATTTCATAACTGTAATTTTGCTACTGTTATGAATCGGGTAACCCTTGTGAAAGAGTCATTTGATCCCCAATGGGTTTGGGACCCACAAGTTGAGAACCACTACTGTAGAGCACCTGAGGAAGGCTGCTGCCTCAAACAAGGGGAATAGAAACGCCAAAGAACACACCGTCCCTCTACTCACTCTCTACCCTGAAAAACGAAGAACAACGTCTGAGTAGATAGATACACACCCATGTTCATAACAGTGTCTTTCACAATAGAAAGACGATAAGAATAACCTAAATGTCCATCAGTGCATACACAAATGTACATGCTCATTTCATTATCCTATCGTTTCAGGAGGTAGAACAGAGAATAACCTTAACTGAAAGATATGTGAAGTGAATACAGAAAAACTAAAAGACTCGTGTCAGGAACAATGTTCAAACCCGAGCAGTCTAACACTATAGTAGATAGTATGCATAGCAATAGATGTGTCTAACGCTAGAGTCGATAGTATGTATAGCAATAGATGTGTCTAACGCTAGAGTACATAGTATGTATAGCAATAGATGTGTCTAATGCTAGTCGATAGTATGTATAGCAGTAGATGTGTCTAACGCTAGAGTAGATAGTATGTATAGCAATAGATGTGTCTAACGCTAGAGTAGATAGTATGTATAGCAATAGATGTGTCTAACGCTAGAGTAGATAGTATGTATAGCAACAGATGTGTCTAACGCTAGAGTAGATTGTATAACAATAGATGTGTCACATAGGGTGTCAGTGGTTTTCCAGCATAGAGTCCTGTTTGAGAAATAGGGAAGCTACACCTAACCAAAGAGCACTAGTGGCATAGTGGGTGTTGCATGGGCTCCTAACCACGAGGCTTTCTCCTCCTGTAAAGAGTTAGTCTTAGAAGTAACCCACAGGGGCATTTCTATTCTCTCCTATCGAGTTGCTATGCGTTGAAATGAACTTGACGGCAGTGAGTTTGTTTGCATGTGGAAACTTAACTGGGACTCTGAATCACACTTTAGGTCTGATAGGAAGATAGACCATTGTCTGTGAGCGAAGGAAAGGAGGTGGATTTGCTGAAGATCCTGACTATGACGGAGAACTGTTCTTGATCGAAATGAACCTATTTTTGCACCCCTGGGGAGGAGAATGTGTTAATGAAACAACTCTGGTATGTATGCACTTTTACTTACAGTAAATTTTGAACCAATTTAATCTAATCCGGAATTTGAAATGAATATTGCTTCTTTTAAAATCCCATAGTTGATCTGCTACTGTTAAACTTAAAATATGTTTCAGGTTTGCATCAAATAGTATTGGTAATTACAATATTTATAGTAGTTGTTACTG